ACCACATCTGTAACCAGAGATGATCTCAGCAAAACCACAACCCGCTGCACAAATCCCAAACCAGCGGGACGCGTTACTCACCGAGCGGCAAGGCAGGGTTCTTAAACACGTTCCCGAGCGCGTAACAAGCGTTCCAGCGCACTTTCATAGTGGCCTCGCTCTGAACAGTGGAAATAAGGGCCTGGAGAGATTCCTCGATGGCTTCCCTGAACCTGGGGTTTGCTACGTGATACGGCTGAAGGAAGTGGAGCACGTTGCCGAGGGCTCGGACCGCGTTACTCTTCACCTGGAATACACGTACACCAAAAAATACAACGTTCTGGCTTTCAGCTCACAGGCGCAAAGCTTTTGTCAACCCCGCTACGAAATCATGCTCGGAGCCAACAAGGAGCCCATGTGGAATTGGGCTGGTGTCTTATCAGGTGGTGACTTCCTAAAAGCCACCAAGACCATTCTCTGCAAATGGTTACCCTGACAGAAAAGAAAAGAAAAAAAAAAAAAAAATGAAACAGAACACCAAAATCCAACCCTGACTGGGGAAAAACACACCCTGCGGGTCAAAACCTCCAAACGTCAGGCCTCAGGAGAGGATGCTGAGCTGCAGCTCCCCGTCTGTTGGGGCAAAACACCCCAAAGAAAGTAACTGGTGCCTTCTTGCCTTTTTTGTTTGCTTGTTTGGTTTTTTTTTAAATAAATATTCAAGACTTAACTGCACCATGGCAACTCCACCCTCAGCCATACCTTGTCTCTGTCCCTGGATGCTTCAGTTGCAGAGCGTAACATTTTCAACAGCAGGAGATCAGAAAATTCCTCTTGAAAAGTTTGTCCCATCGTTTCCCTGGCAGGAGAATCACACGGTGAAAGGCCGGCTCAGACAACCCATCCCCAAAGATGTGACACGATCCTTACAAAAGGCTTATAAGCAACCTTCACTCTTTTGAAGGCTAATATGTAAGGCAGACCTTACTACATGTGACCACGATGCTTATTAATTTAAAACCAAACTATCAACGCAAGAAAGCCAGTTAGCAAGGCATTAAGTCTATAATAAAAAACAGAGGGCAATGAATTGCTCAGAAGCAACTGTGTAGCTGGAATATATGATAACTGTTTCTCCTGTTAAAAATGTAACGAGTGGGTTAGGCTTCCTTCAGTCTTTGGCTTGAGGAAGCGTTAAATATTTATTAATTTTACTCCTCTGTTATGCTGAAAGTAACCAGGGAACATGCAATTACACAAAGCAACGCAGAAGAAACAGAAATTCGGAAAAGTAAACTTGGAAAAAGTAAACTTGGAGTATCAGAATTACTGATTAGAAAGACCTGAACTCAACTTTTAGAAGAACTCAACCCCAGGCAGATACCGGACACTTGTAAAACAGCATTATACAGCAACGGACACATGGGCTGAAGAGTGCTTACAAAGAAGCACCCAAGCTAAATTTTGGCTTTTTGGATACCAATTCGGGCAGCAGCCTCTGCGGGACACCAGGGGGTAGGGCAGAGAGAGGAGCTCGGCGTGCCAAGGTGTGACTACGCACATGTTGATGATGAGAGTATCGGTAAGGTTGCCCAGGGACCAAGCCGCCTTGGCACGGACATTCGGAGACTTGTCGTGGAGGGAATCCAGAATAGCGTTGGCCGTGTCTGCCACAAACATCACATCCTAGAAAAGGAAAAACTGCTGCAAAGTTAGAAAGTTTAAAAAACTCAGGTGGTTTCCTTAGTTCCACGCGCATTCCGGCCCTTGTATTAGTGAAACATGCACAGAGACCATCTCTACTCATAAACTCTTCTCTTCCAGGCGACAACTCTTAAAGTGTTTCTGGTGCTCTCTGCACACCTTTGTCTGATCTTTAATTAACAGTCTAAGCCTGCATGCTGACCAAGGCCACCACTCTCTTGGGTAGCTGTTGCTGAAAGGTTTCAATGTCTCATTTAACTTCATTGGTTTCTTGAGATACTTTGGATTTAAACATAATAACCTGGACTGCCAATCCTCTACTCATCAAATCTGACTCAAAGTAACTGTTTTTCCAAACTCCACTGAGCTGCCTGTCTAATCTTCTCTTCTATAGAATGTTAGGTTTCATCTTCATTCTCTTGCCTATGGTAGGATTTTCTTTCAAAATACTTTGCAATCAAATCCCAATGTTAGCCACTGCCTAATTTTTCTAATTACAATCACTCATTTAAGGCCACATCGCAAAAACTACACAGCCTTCCAGCTCAGCCAAGCTAAGATGAGTTTTGTTATGGAAACAAAACATTTTTCTCTAAGTAACCTTCACTTCTTAGTTTGAGAGAAAAACTGAAGCCTTCACCTTAAAAATCTTGTTAAACCCATCATGAAATGGCTCAATACAAGAAAAAAACAGGTCAGTTCTGACCTGACGAAGGCAAGAGAAGAGGACGTAGACTCCAAGCGCACGTGCAGCAGCAGCTTTCACCAGCGGGTTCTCGCTGTGGTTCAGGCCAAGCAGCAGAGTGACGCACAGGATCTGCTGGTCATTCTGCAACAAGAAGCAGCTGGAGAGAAACTCAGAAGATCTCTGTCCCACAAAGACAGACAACTCACAAATACTCTGAAAGATGTGGAATTCACAGAAGCTCCCGTTCAGAGCGTGCTCTTCTCTTAAAGTAAATTGATGGGCACACGGGAAACGGGAACGCTTCCAGCAAACACCATCTTGCGGCCAGTAGATGAGACCACAAAGGAAACTGAAATAGTAGGCCTGGCCTGGCCGAGGTAAACCAGACCGAATCAGTTGCTTTTTCCCAGTCTTGCTTCACCTTCCCCTTCATTAAGGCAGGCAGATGAAGTTCACGCCGGACAGATTGTCAGCTTACCAAGCCATGACAAAGATCTTTGTTTCATCAGAGCGAAGGGTCAGAGTGGGCACCAGCTTGGCCCCACACGGCCACAGGAACGAGCGAGCGTACGGGATCAAAGTACAGGGTGATGAGGTACATGCTGTGCTTGGGGAAACCAGACGGAGAATTCCAGAGATACTGCTGGACTAGCAATTCTTGGGCAAATGAGATCTGGCAGAGCACTCCCCATCGAGAAGGGCACGTTGACACTAAAGGAGCTGCACAATGCAGTGGCAACACACTGCCAAGGCTTTCATGTTTCAAAGCACATTTCAGGTTGCAAAAGGAGAGTAAGGACAACGTATTTGTTTGCTTCTGCCAGGGCAATCACTGCAGCTTAGGGTTTTAAAAGGCAGCCAAACGAACAAAAAACAACATGCATGCGAATCGTTGAACGTCGTCAGTCCGTGGCTGTTAGCTCAGCTGTCTCTTCAAAGACTTAAGGAGCAAAATAAGGGCACTTCACCCCTTCCTCATGCAATCAAATTCTTGCCCCCCATCTCCTGTGCATCATTGTCAAGGCTAAGTATTCGTGGCAGGGCCAGACAGCTTCTGTGACCCACAGTTTAATTGTTTTGACAGACTAATTACTCCCAACGCTGCCTTTTCCAGTCTTCAGGAATCACGACTTGTTCAGAATGGAAAAGAAAAAAGAATCTGGAAGGTGTCTCTACCCTCTCCTTATAAACTGTGAAATGTTTTACACTACTGTAACCTTGTGGACAAAAGCAAAGCCTCAACAAGTGAAAATGCCACTGTTGAAGGAGCATGCTCTTACCTGCAGGCTGCTGAAAGCTTCTGGCAAGATCGAGGACAGGGCGTCACAGGCGCTTGTCTGAAGAGTCGCGTGTGGAGAGTTCTGCAGAGTGCCCGGTAACGGGCCATTTAACATCATAGTCCAGAAAGTGACAACCTACCAAAGAAGCAGCCAGGTTTACCTATTTGAAGTCAGCAATTATGCCCAAGTTCCAGAACAGATTGCCTTTTCCTATGATCATCTTTAAGGCATACTTACAGCACATAGCATAATTACACGTGAAAGTGATTACAACTGTTTGAAAGCCTAAAATACTTGGCATTCAGAAACATTTTAAAGACATTTTGGTACTGCTATCAAGTACTTATTCATCAAGTTCTGTTTGTTTCCTTCTCAAGGCCACATACATTCAGATTAGATTGCACTAGGCTGAGTTATGATTCCGTTCTTGAATCCACACAGTTGGGTATTTTCATTTGCCTGACAATTTACATTTGTATCAAGTAACAGGAACTTGGTGCTACTGGACACATTTCCTATCTTGTAGGATCACTTATGATCAGCTCAAAACTTGGCACAGGCCAAAGACAGCAGGCAGGAAGAGACAGGGTGAGGAAAGGCAGAGAAACAGTGTTGCCGTCACATAAAACAAAAACGAACGCCAAAATAATATACGATTTTTGTGGACTTCCTGCACACCAGCACCTAGGGACTGAGTCCCCTTCTGCTCTCCCGACATCAATTTATCTGTATCCAAGCCAGTGACCTTGCAGAGAGTTCAAGAAAGCAAGCCTGGTGAAGCGGAATTGCAGAGGGAGCCCACACTTACCACGCTGACCGGCACTCTCTGGTCAGCAGCAACGGCTGAATCGGGTTTGTACTGCTGCAGCACCCCTGTGCCCAGCTCCTCCAAGAGCTGCAAGGGAACAAAAACCGACAACATCTTTTATCAGGGATGACTCAAGCAGCAAAGGACTAGAGTAACCTTTATCTAGGGCTCTACTTACTTACCCAGGGAACAGAAAAAAAAGATTCAGTATTATTTTGGACTCTATGCTGTCCCCGCTAGTGAAGAAATTAAAGGAAAAGCCTTTCTAACACAAAATTTATGGCTACAACAGCGCAACAAACGGCCGTGCAAGGAGGAAATCTCTCTGAGCTTTCCTTTGGGTGACAGGCCACAGTTCCTGCACCAGCGAGTGCTAAACCAGGAAAGGTCAGAGTTACGGTCCTTGCATTTCCCAAGCTTCCTAGCGACTCAGCACAGCAACAAAATCCTGCTCGGAATTCACAGTTGGAAGCAAAAGGTGCATTTCTCAAAGTGTCACAGCATTTCCCTGAGAGCTACAGCAGGCACCGGGTCTTTACAGTGTGCTACATCACACACACACAGATGCTCCAAGTACTCATCACTGTTCATCTGTATTTGCAAAGCACACTCATAGATAAAATTGGCTTGGTAAAAACACCACCAGCGTTTCCTCACGCTCTTACTTTAGCTCCGTGAAGCTGAATGGATGGGTCCATTTCTTCCATGCATCTGCAAGCCACTTCTCCAAGTTCTAGGAAATAGCTCTGGGCCATAGAGAAATAACCTTTTACGAGAAGAGCCAACACCTAAACATGGACAAAAGAAATTCCATGCAGTGGGTTTTTTTCCTCCTATTAAACCAAAATACGCCAAATACACACAAAGAGGATGTTAACGGGCTAATCAACACTGGGACCACATACTGAACTCTGATGTAACAGATACACCTCGCAATACAACTTTTAGAATAGTACAGCTAATTAAAACCCTCTCTATTGCACTCTCTTGTTCAAAAAAAGGGCCACAAAAGCACTATCGGGTAGCAGCACAATGAATTATTTACTATGAGGTCTCCTGTAGCTAAAAGACTAAACAAGAGTGCCAGTAAGAGCAACACCCTCCTGTAATACTGCTGCTGTGTTGTGTGAAGCTGGATTTAACAAATATTCATTGTTCCAGATAAAGAGTGGGACTCCTTGGGGTCCACGTTACAAAATCTGGTTATTTTCTGTGGTTACATATCAAAAAACAAGCCTCAACATGCACAGGTACTCCTTTAGTTACACCAGCATCACTCCACAGCTCCTTCCAGGCTGTCCTTTGGACACGAGGTTCCTCCTCAGCATTTCCTAGCAAAACTTTGATTTGGATTCTCTAGGGAGGAGATTGCATTTCCCAAGCTAGGCCTTCGTCCCCACCTGTAAGGATTCCAGTCGAAGGGGACACGGTTCATAAATGCTGGAAAAGGATGGAAAGTTAGCATCGCTGTCCGAGCAGGAATCCTCTCTGGGCAGAACGACGATGGAAACGCAGAGACGGAGAAGCCAGCACGGTTCTGAGGACGTACACCCTGCCGGATTATCTGGAGGTTCCCCTTCCGAGGGGGGAGCTTTTCTCCACTGCTCGGAATTCAAACGGTGAGGGGTTGCGCTACCGCTGCTATTTAGCCCCGAAGAACTGGGCTGCTGCAGAAGTAACTGCACCTCTGGTAAAGGTGCTTGGACAGACACTATAGCCCCTAACAACGTGAGACTGGAAACTCGAACGTTGACATCTGCAACAAAGATCAGGGTGGGGGAAGAGAAAGCCAGCCCGTTAGCATCTCACCAACACGTCAGCATCCTTCTTCAGCAGTCTGCAGGCACGACAGAGATAACAGTGAAGTTCTAACACAATAGAAAGAAGCTCCAAGCCAAAGGGAATGCAAACCTTTGTGACAGATGTAGGGCTTTATCTGGTTCCAAACTCTTGTCAGCAGCCCCGGTTTCAATCGGCTGTATGGCACGTTCGAAACCAAATGGGCGAGGCACTGCAACACACAAAAGAACAGACATGGAGTGGTGGCTGCAATGTCAGCCTGGCCTCCCACATGTTTGTTTTCATATTTGCAATTTAGGCCATTTAGACAGCTAATTATCTGAGGGCACCTGAAAACAAACATCCCAATTATCTGCTGTTTGAAAACTGGTTACAAACTTGGTTCCTAAGAACAGGTATTTAACTACCGTGACCTGGCATAAAGTCCAAGGAATTTCAATAGCCTATGGAAAGCTATTTTTGCCAGCTTGGACTCCAGTTTTTAAGCTAACGCGAGTCTTCAGAATCATTTCATAGGTTCATTCAGCTCCAAAAAGACTACAGAAGAGAAAAGCAAAGAAAAGAAACCCCAGGACTCTGTGGGAAGACTCAGTCAATGAAACCTTGCAAGACGACACCAGTCTACTTCCCACCCCCACCTCCGTCCCCAACAGCTACAAGAATTTCTGCGCAACCTTTCTTCAAGACTTCATCCAGAGACCAACATCAGATCTTGGGCAGGATTTGAAACGTTTACCCTGCAGTTACCTTCACTATTTGTGTCAGTGTCTGAGAAGAGGATTCTGCCACCAGGGCTAGCAGCAGGCAGCGGTGCAGCTCCCGGATGCTAGAAGCGATCGTTACAGAAAAGGGAGTAAAAGCTCTCTTGTGATCATTAGCATCTTCAGCAACAGAAAGAAACTGCTTTGAACCTTCCAGGATCGCGGACAGAACTTGAAGAGCACAGGCACGAGTCTGAAATGATAAAACGTTCCTGTTACTTTTAACATCTCCTTCAAGCTGATGGAGAATTTTTAAATTTATCAAAGGATCTTTCTCCAGCAAGAGAAAAAAAAAAATCAACTCCAGCTGCTTTCTCTCGTAACTTTAAGCAGTTAAACAATCAACCCTTTGTCTCCTTAACCAATATATCCTTTATTTCTTGCCATACAGTGATCAAGCAACACGGACACAGTAGCCAAAGTACTTACTGAAGGCCAGAGAAGACAATTCTTAAGATTAATACAGGAAAACTACAATGCTTTCTCTACTCAGAACTGCCTTACCTTTGGAGAAGGGTCCTTTAAAGCAATTGTCATCAAGGACACTGACTGGGGGCTGCCAATGCCAGGCGCATCAGGAACAAACGCTGACCAGTAGCCATAAAGAACTCTTTTTTCTATTGATTTTATGGCAGAGAGGAAACAGGCTAGAGCCCCCTGACGAACATTGGCTTGGTAAGATCTTAGAAACAAACAGAAAGATTAATGAAATAGGAGCAGGGAAAAGCAATGGACTTAACCTCTTATATTAGTGGTTGGCTGTGAGAACAAACCCTCTAGGTCAAAAACAGGAAAAAAAAAAAACAAAATCACTCAAATGAATACGAATTGCTGCCTTCCAATTTTCTTCTATGATCACATGAAACAAGAAAGGGAAAGGGGTTTTCTCAACAGTTTTCATTAAGAACAGAGCGTTAAGACCCTGTGAAAGCATAAGAGTGCACACACGTGACAGTTGTGCAGGCAGGGCAGGTGTGCTCTAACACAATATGCAACCTTACGTCGTGACGAACAGCAGCACGCTGCTACCGCGCTTTGCGTTGACGTGACCAACAATCACCTCACTTTGCTCTGTATTCCTCCTTCAGCATCTGAATATTCCGACTCACTGCTGCTGATTCTTTTCCAACCAGCGTAAGGTGAGGACGGGTGATCCTTTCCAGCAGGCACGCACGCAACATCTGACACACGAGTCCGAGGATCCGGACAGGAACTGTCCTGCACAGCCCCCAGGCACAAATTCTGCACGTCTGCTGCAAGGACTGACTCGTTTCCTGCATCACTCAAATCTTCTCTTCCTTCTTCCCCAAGCTCTCCCTTCTTCTGTTTACCTTTGGACCTTTTTCTTCGGTTCTAAGACAAAAAAAATAGGTATTTTTTTTTTAATCTTTAAAAATAGTTTCTAGATGTTCAAACATTTTATAGTCGTAAATCTAAAAAATACGAAAAGTCTCATCTGAAAACAAGTTGTTAATCCAGAATCAAAGCAGAGTTTAATGTAATAAATCACGCTCTCTGTATCGCACATCAGTGTCAAATAACAGAAGTTTCTAGATCAGTTTTTAGATAACTCTTGGTTAAAACTACCTCTTGTCACAGCTATTTACCATCTTCAGTGCAACAATACTGCACAGAAGTGTAATCACATGTGTGTGCAATACTGTATATACAGAAACAGTCACTTTTTCAGCATCAGAGTTTGCAAACTCTGCTTATTAGTAGCATCGGTGTAGCAATAGCTTAGCGTAAGCAAGCAGTTCATACCTGAATAGCCTTGAAAGTTAAGCTTTGGCCTTTTCATCAGTAAAGCCAAAAATTTCCAACAAAACTTACTAAAAAAAATATATTTCACACAAAAGGGAATAAAGAAGAGGAACAGTTGTTCTCTTACAGTAGGTATTTAACATCTAGAAAGAAACAAGTCGACATAACTATACAACTCGATTTTCTCTAATGTTTCTCAGATAATGGGTAACCCAAAATGTTTACAGGATTAAAAAATAACCCGTAGAACGACTAAGCAGAACAGATGGGGGGCAGAGGGGAAGTCAGTCTCTAGATGAACTTGACTACCCTAAGAAAAGAGTCGAACAATTGCGCAAGCATTAGGAGAGAAAACGTAACTTATAAAATAAAAAGCTCTGGCTAGTCTGCACGCACCAATCCCCCGTCTGCAGGCCAGGAATTCTTGGCTGCAGATGAATAACTGCTGCACAGAGCTTAACTCAGGAAAACCAACCTCTGCAGAGCTGCTCGTTCTCATCACCCGAGTTTACAAAGCGATTTGCCTCAGCGCAGGGGTTTATAATCAGTACCTGTACAGCAAAGGAGGTGAAGCTACGTGCAACCACAACAGACCCGCTCACGGCGATGATTTCAGCTTACCCCTGCCTGCTTAGAGGTGGCCGGTTCCGACGGCTCCAGTTTGAGAGGCGACCTTTTATCATACTGAGGTAGCGGTGCCGGGTACAAGGCTGTGGGCATTTCTATGCTCAGTCCTGGCAGCCCGTGAAACATGCATTTCTAGAACAGCAAGGAGGACATCAGCGTTCCTTCCTCTCTTGACACACAAAGATTTACTGTATAGATACTGAGGTGTTCATCGATTTTCAGCCAGGCTTGTGAGCTTTCCCCCAGGTCTTGCCTCTCCCCATGCTACGGAACAGCTACGTAACGTCTGAAATTGAATTGTTATCTAGAAGGATTTTAGGCAGGCTTCAAAAAATGAGCCTCCCATTTTCCTCTCATATTCTTTTTCGGGAAGCGCAGTTAAGATGCTGCAAGAGAATCCCATCTTTTTCTTTACATTTCCCCCCACTCTCAAGTTTCCCTGCTCCCTCTTTCTCATCTTCTACTGTTTCCCACTTTACGAGCATTTGGAACATGCACTTCCCAGTGTCTGTCCCTTTCCTCAAGGTGAATTGAAATGTTTACCTTTAATACAGCAAGAAGAGATCCAATTTGGTCAGTTTGCATTAGTTTCATCTTCCCACCGTTGAGAAGTGACTGGATACCTTTCAGTGCATTTTGTAGTAACTGAAAACCGAAACACAAATTAGTTTTCCTTTCCAAAACATGTTTCAAGTGACCTTCTGGGTAATTATGGCTTTGCTCAATGCAATTACTGGGATGGTTCCTTACGTTTATTTTTAAAAAGATTTAGACTACTTAAGCAAAATCTCAGTTGGCAGTATTCCAAACTTCATATATTTCAAACTCCACTATTCCAGCAGCACAATCTCCTAATCAGAGCATTTCAGCCAATTAGACTCACACTTACCATGCAAAAAGTGATGTCATCTACATCAGAAGTTTTTGAAGACTGCAGAACGCTTAGGAAAGTTTGAAAGCAGACACTTCTGTAGGACTCATCCAAGTAGGGCTGTCCAGGCACACTAAAACAAAAGCAGGAGATGCCAAATGGTTGGTTTTCAGTCTGTCCCACAGCTTTATGAAGTTACAGGAACCCAAATAAAAGCCCTCTGCTTGAGTGACGAGCACAGCCCCAGAGAGGTGGATGGCTCCATCTTTCTGGAAGACTGAAAGTTTTAGGTTTTATCCACCGACGACACAGTATCTTGGAGCACTGAAGTTTTACGTTTCAGATTCACGCACATGCACCTTACTGATCCCACGTTTGCTGTTCCTGGCACAAAGAATGCAGACCAGCCATCTGTGCTGGCAGATGTATGTCTTCTAAAGCATCCACTCCATCACCCGAAATGGCGCGTACGCACCTGAGACACAGGTTGGCCATGCTGCGAACCGCTGCCCTCCTGAGTTCCACGTCTGGCTGAGCAGAATCACTGAACTGCACCAAGAGCCCAGCCTGGCCCAGCAAATCCGGGAGATACTGAAATGAACCACCAAAAGTCAGGAGGAGTCAGGGCTCTTCCCCCAGCCTCCCACTTTTTCTCTTTGAGAGCTAAACATATCTACGCTACACAAAAAAATAGAACTGTCAGCTGCGATTTCAGATTCCATAGACAGATTGTGTTTACAAAAAAAGATGACATGAAAATTCGAAACTCCAAAGTTCTCGCTTTGTATTTAAAAAGTATCGAGCGTGAGCACAGCTCAGACTGAGTCCCTGTTTATACTCTCTTCCCAGACGTAAAGCTAAGTGAGTAACAACTGCTGCACCCAACTGCTGTGGTTGTAGAGGCTACAAACCCACGCAAGCTGGCAGGTCCAAAGCTGCGAGCAGCCCCCCCCCCGCGCTTCAGCCCGACAGCAGAAACTCCTCTGCGAGCTGCCAAGAGCTGGTGACAGCAGGAGAATTCAACATATCAAACGCTGCCAGGCACGCTGCAGCGACAAGGAGCCTCGTACAAACCCCAGGGCTGATACCCGAGAGTCTCCACTTTGAAACGGCTTCGAGGCCACCCCGTGCTGAAGACTCGATCTGGTTACAGGTTAAATTTCAGGATCCTCCATGGAGCCTGCTCAGCAACGTGCAGTTTGAAGGTCACCCACGTTCTTCCTCGCTGATGCACTGGCACACCAGGGTGCTCAGTCTGCAGAGTAAGCCTGGTGCTCAAGCCAGGCCACAGGAGGTCCCTGCAGCTGCAGCCTACAGGGCCAGAGGGATTCGGCATGGGAAGAATCTTGTTATCTCTTGATTACTAGTATACACACCTACCACACTTGAAACTCAAATTTTTCCGTAAATATCAGTCACTTATGTCTAAATGGGATCTAATCTTAGCATGAAAGATAAGGCAACTTGAGAACAAAAACAAGCAAAAGCAGAAGTAGCAAAAGGGTGCAAATATTTTTGCGGTGACGGTCAGTTAGCTTGTAAACTCACCTTCTGACATTTAGGTCCATTATTGTAAACAAGAGCTGCTAAGGCTTGCAGAATTTCAACATGTGTCCAAGAACTGCACTGCTTAAGAGCAGAGATGCAGTAGGAGAGAAGAAAATTCAAGTTCTGTTCATCAACCATCACCTGTCATAACAGAAAAGGGCCGTGGTCAAGAGAACATCACCATGTAGTGCTGGAATCAACACAGGCAGAGGTGTTGGTTGCAGACTTGGGTGGTCTGGCTGTAAAATTACACACCATCACAGACTCAGCTGACACTTAAGAACTGACATATCAACACAAGAGTCCTACATATGATCTTTGAGGTCCCTTCCGGCTCTGACAATTCTACGATTCTATGATACAGCAACGAGTACTTCCAGCAGCGCATGACTTCTGACTAGGAGCTGGTTTTGCACGAGGAGCCACGCTAGATCAGAACCTCAGCTAAGAATAAATAAGCAGCTCAGTGAACATCGAAGAAACTCTGCATGAAGGTCACATTCATAACAAGCCACAGCTTAGTGTGAGACCAGGAAGCAGACCCAGAGAAACAAGGGAGGAGGCCAAAATTTCATACCTGAAATCTGTTAAGTAAGTGATGGATAAGCTGACAAAGTTTGCTGACAAGATGTTCCTGATCAAGGTGAACCAGCTGACAGGCTTGGACAAGCAGAGCACAAACATCCTGGAAAGGAAAGCCTCGGTTTATTATTTAGAGACCACAAAGCCAGGACGGAAACGACATCCCCTGAGCGAAGACTTTGATCACACAACCAGATGTGTGTGCAGATACCACCGATACGCGTGGGTAAAGTAATAACAAGAAGGGAGCTGCAGCCTGCGAGCTGCCCCTCGGCTCCCCCAGGCTTGCGTGGGCTGACGCGGGTTTGCGGTGCAGGAGAGCTGCTCCAACCCCACCAGAGTGAAATCAAAACCAGTGACAACGGCAAAAGGAAAATATAAAGCTAGACTGAGGACAGAAGAGGGCGAGGGGGAAGGAGCACTATCCAAAAAACTCAATTAACTCCACAGGGTGAAG